GCATTATTTTCAATGGATTTTCATTCTTAAACCGAAAATTACATTAACCGAGGCGTTCGTAAACCGAGGTACACCTGTAGTTAGTTGTAGCAAGTACCATAACTGCACTAAAGAGACACTCTCACCATGAGCATGTGGGGCAAAGAATTAGTGAGCTCCATTCACTAGAGCAGATCGCATGTGGTATTTAGGTTTCTGAACACATTTTCCCTAAATAGCTTGTAATTGTCAATTCACTATGTCGTTTTGCGTTAATTACCTCAAAACACTTGGTAAATACTGAGTAAAAAAAATTAAACTCAATTAACAAAAGAAAATAAATAAATGCATGCGGTAAATAAGTAGTGGTCCAGGCATGTGATGGTTAGGAAACGTGCATGATTTTAACAAGTTGTTAAGGAGCTGGCAGCTGTTGGCGTCCCTAACTACCAGTAACTGTCATGGTTGTTAAGGAGCGTGTGTCCGCCACTTCCCTAACAACCATGACTCATCTGCTATCAGCGGGGTTCCTGAGCGCCCCCTTCTCCTGAACCATACCAGGCCACATGCCCTCAACATGGGGAGTGGGAGTGCTTTGGGGCATAGGAAGTAGCTTTGAGGAAGTGCAGGTAAGGTGAGTATGTGTTGTTACAGTGGACACTTTCACATTATACAAAAAAGTGGCAACACCCCAGCCTATAACTAGCGTTTGCAGTAAGGTGCACATGCAAGGGCAATGAACGTCACAATTAAAAGATTTCCCAGCACACTTACCAACTAGCCTGCAAAACAACGCTTTCCCATTAGCCTATATGGGCTAATTTTCCTTTCCTGGATTTCCTTTAATTTTATAAATATTAAAAGACAAATATACCTTTAGTAAAGTTGTCCTTTAAAAGAGAAGTACTGTATGGCCAATGCTTTTTTGGCCATCTCTCGCTTGTTGGTCACAGGAGTGTACTTACTTGTGCACTCCTGTGACCCAGAAACAGCTGACTAAAGCCTTCTGTTGGCTGACATTACAGAGCCGCTCCATACTCTGAAGGTATCCCGACAATAATGTCAGGATCCACCAAGAAGCCTTACAGGCAGCTGGCTCAGCCTCTCAGTCCACCAGTGAGAGACTGAGCCAGCCGGTCCTGTCCCCTCCTTTTGAGCGCTAGAGGGTCAGGGCAGAGAGTGGTGACAGGCAGTCAACACTCTCTGTTCACAGTGGACCTGAGAACCGAGTGATCAGCAGTCACTCAATCACTCAGTTCTTGGGTTTAGAATCAGTGAGGGACAGCTGAAGCAACAGACTGATGCTGCAGCAGGTAGGCAAGTATGTATGTTTTTTTTTATTTACACCATTCCCACACATCTCCTTTAATTAAACCTCCCAGCCCCCTGAGTACAGCCTGCCTGATCAAATACTTACCTTCTTCCTCACTGAAGCGATTTCCACTGTTTGGCCCTGCCTATTGCTGCACAGTCTGTGCAAGGAACGTTTTCTGACCAAGTCCTGTTTCCTACTGTGATCCTATTTAGTCCTACGGATGAGTTGTATTCAAAATGACCTCCAGCTATCCAGTGGAGTACACCTGATACATAGCAATGAATGGTGCCACAGCATGCAAAGTAGGTAGTCTGGCTTATATTGGAAAGATACAGTACATTTTTAAGGTCTCCATCACAATCCAAATCATATTTACACCATTTTGAATGCAACTTACAGTTTGTGAATGTTCCTCATTTTAACTCATATGTTATAAGAATAAATACTTTTATAAAGGTGTAACAATTACAAAATAATATAGTTTATCACCCCTGCTTGTATCTTTATTGGTCTTTTGCTTTCTAACTATTGTACATTTATATACACTATATTTCCAAAAGTATTGGAACCTATTTACACACACATGAACTTTAATGGCATCCCAGTCTTAGTCCGTAGGGTCCAATATTGAGTTGGCTCACCCTTTGCAACTATAACAGGAGTGTGTCTATGGGAATGTTTGATAATTTTTCCAGAAGTGCATTTCTAAGGTCAAGTACTGATGTCGAACGAGAAGGCCTGGCTCGCAGTCTGTGCTCTAATTCATACCTAAGGTCCTATCAGGTTGAGGTGCAGGCCAGTCAAGTTCCTCCACCCCAGACTTGCCCGTCTTTATGGACCTTGCTTTGTGCACTGGTGCTCAAGTCATTTTGGAACAGGAAGGGGCCATCCTCAAACTGTTCCCACAAAGATGGGAGCATTAAATTTTCCAAAATGTCTTGGTATGCTGACGCCTTGAGAGTTCCCTTAACTGGAACTAAGGGGCCAAGTCCAACCCCTGAAGAACAACCCCACTGTCAGGAATGGACTGGCCAGCTATGGTGGGACTCACCTGCCTTTTGATCTGCAGTACCAGGGCTGGCCAGCGGGTGTTCCCAGCAATCAGAGACTCAACTTTGCAGCCAGCTAACACCTGTAACTGATTATGCTGGGGTATTTAAGGGATGGCCAGACCCACAGACTCTGCCTTGGTGTGTGTTTGTCCTGGGCCCTGCATCCTGTTTTCTGTCCTGCATCCTGTTTCTGAACCTGCTGCTGACTTCTCCTGCTCTGATCCCGGCTCGCTCCTGACCATCCCTCTGTCTGACCCTCTGTACCACGCTGCTTGCTACCTGTTCTGATCCCTGGCTTGTGACCCTGACCAATCTCCGCTTGCTCCCCCTGTACCTACCTGCCCTATTGATATTGACCCGGCCTGCCTGACGATGCTTGCTTGTATGTACTGTTATCTGTGGGTGGTTTGGTTTGGTTTGTTTGCACTGTATTATGTTTTAGTATTGCACTGCGTTTATGTTTGTATTGTTAGTGTTAATAAATTATATTGTTTATAACATATCTGAGGTCTGCGTTTCCCTGCGTCAGTCACACATCTCTGGTCACACCTGGGAGCCCTGACATTACACCAAGGCCAATCCTGACCAGAAGTGGCTGCACAGGGAAGCCATCTTGGCTTGTTGATGGGAAGGATGGATCTGGATGAGGTTGAGTATTTATCTCTGCTAGTGCTTGATGACAGAGAGTATGCTTATCAGACTCTGAAGGAGTATCCCCGGGATGAACTGCTAGAATGTATACGGCTCGCTCATGTTCTAGTAGATCAGGGCACAGATTTCTCTATGGTGCAGCCATTGATTCAGGTTTGTGTTGAGTTGGTTTCATCTGGTTCCCCCGAATGCAGGGATGAATTTTTGCCACCATTTAGTGCAGACCAGGTTGAGTCCCTGGTGTGGTTATTAGAGGATGATGTGGGTTACTTTCTGGAGCGTTATTCCACATGTTCACCACAGACACTAAGAGATTGTATAAACGCAGTGCAGTCATTGACCAGACAGGCTTTGTGTAAGCTCAGCTTTGTTCAACCCCTACTGCAGACATGGACAGACTTGTTGCACCCAGCCTCAGTCAGCTTACAAAAACCCAGTCCTGCTTCTAACTCTACTCCTGTATTCCCACCAGCTCCTCCAGTTACAGCCCAGTATACTTGGCTATCTACCGCATGTCAGTACCCTGTTCCCACTCGCTGCACCTATCCTGCCTTTAACCCTGTAAAAAAGCCCTCTGTAGCAACTGCTCCCTCTCCTGTTCCATCCTCCAGTTTTTCTCTGTCTCCAGCTGCTCCATTCGTTTGCAGACCTGCGTTTACTTGCAGTGCTCCAGTAGTTAAAACCAGAAAAAAGCGAAAATTCTTTCCAACCAATACCATCCTGCCAGTATCCAAACCGGTGAACCTGCCTTCCGTGACTCAGCCTGAAGCCTCTACTCAGCCTGAAGCCTCTCTTCAGCCGGATGCCTCTCCTCAGCCGGATGCCTCTCCTCAGCCTGATGCCTCTCCTCAGCCTGATGCCTCTCCTCAGCCTGATGCCTCTCCTCAGCCTGATGCCTCTGCCTGGAGTCCAGCCCGATGTGCCTCTGCCCGGAGTCCAGCCCGATGTGCCTCTGCCCGGAGTCCAGCCCGATGTGCCTCTGCCCGGAGTCCAGCCCGATGTGCCTCTGCCCGGAGTCCAGCCCGATGTGCCTCTGCCCGGAGTCCAGCCCGATGTGCCTCTGCCCGGAGTCCAGCCCGATGTGCCTCTGCCCGGTGTACCGCTGCCCGGAGTCCTGCCCGGTGTGCCAGTCTTTGATATCCCGCCAGTTACCAGACCCGGGCGGTGGAACATTTTTCCCAGCTAGGACTGTTTGGAGCGTCCTGAGGCCGCTCCTTGAGGGGGGGGTACTGTCAGGAATGGACTGGCCAGCTATGGTGGGACTCACCTGCCTTTTGATCTGCAGTACCAGGGCTGGCCAGCGGGTGTTCCCAGCAATCAGAGACTCAACTTTGCAGCCAGCTAACACCTGTAACTGATTATGCTGGGGTATTTAAGGGATGGCCAGACCCACAGACTCTGCCTTGGTGTGTGTTTGTCCTGGGCCCTGTATCCTGTTTCTGTCCTGCATCCTGCTTCTGTCCTGCATCCTGTTTCTGAACCGCTGCTGACTTCTCCTGCTCTGATCCCGGCTCGCTCCTGACCATCCCTCTGTCTGACCCTCTGTACCACGCTGCTTGCTACCTGTTCTGATCCCTGGCTTGTGACCCTGACCAATCTCCGCTTGCTCCCCCTGTACCTACCTGCCCAATTGATATTGACCCGGCCTGCCTGACGACGCTTGCTTGTATGTACTGTTATCTGTGGGTGGTTTGGTTTGGTTTGTTTGCACTGTATTATGTTTTAGTATTGCACTGCGTTTATGTTTGTATTGTTAGTGTTAATAAATTATATTGTTTATAACATATCTGAGGTCTGCGTTTCCCTGCGTCAGTCACACATCTCTGGTCACACCTGGGAGCCCTGACACCCACACCATAATCCTCCCTCCACCAAACTTTACTTGGCACAATGTAGTCAGGCAAGTACCCTTCTCCTGGCAACTGCCAAACCCAGATACGTCCAGCAGATTGCCAGACAGAGAAGCGTGTTTCGTCACTCCAGAGAACATGTCTCCACTTCTCTAGAGTCCAGTGGTGGCGTGCTTTACACCACTGTATCCGCTTTGCATTGCACTTGGTGATGTAAGGCTTGGATGCAGCTGCTCGGCCACCAAAACCCATTCCATGAAGCTCTCTACGCACTGTTGTTACGCTAATCTGAATGCCACACAAAGTTTGGAGGTCTTTAGCTATTGACTCTGCAGACAGCTTGCGACTGGAAGGCATGCGCTGACTCCGCTCTGTCATTTTACGTGGCCTACCACTTCGTGGGCTGAGTTTCTGTTGTTCCCATTTGCTTCCACTTAGTTATATTTCCACTAACAGTTGACCGTGGAATATTTAGTAGCAAGGAAATTTCACAGATGGACTTATTGCACAGGTGGCAACCTATCATACCACGCTTGAATTCACTGAGCTCCTGAGAGTGATCCATTCTTTCACAAATGTTTGTAGAAGCAGTCTGCATGCCTAGGTGCTTGATTTTATACACCTGTGGCCATGGATGTGATTAGAACATCGGAATCCAATGATTTGGAGGGGTGTTCCAATACTTTTGGCAATATAGTGTATAATAAAAACATTAATTAAAATCAATAAAGTATGGCAAAAAAGAAGCTGTTAATATGATAAACCTAGGTTGAATTTTGTTGAGTGTTGCCTTATATATAATGATAAATGTCTGTATAAACAAAGCTCATAATAAAACGTCTGTCTTATTCTTCCAGTTACGGGTTTGTTGTTGTTTTACTGTTTTCAGTTTTATTTTGAAACTCTAAACAATATGCTGTGGCCACAGTTTACAGGTCATTTATTAAGAAAATAAGACCGTATCAACATTAAATTAAACATTTGTAAGCCCAAACACAATATTTAAGTCATAAGCAGGTATTGGTTTTCAGAATTACATTTTCTAATCCTATATCTCAGACTCCAGTAATGAAACCTCCTTACTCCATCCTCCTAACCAGCGGAGATAGGGTGGACCTGCAAACTCAAGTGCAGAGATTTTGCAGCCTTAGTTACCAGTTAGTAGAAGATAGTGGGTGGTCCAGTCTGCTGGCATAATCAGAATTGAAATTTCGTATCTGCATAGACTGCCCTACAATGATACCAGTACATGACAATTGAGTTTTAGATACAGGACCACAGAGCAGCAACAGCAAGCAGAGACTGTATGGGGTTGACTTATTTAAGAGACCTTTTTTCGATTAGTTCTGGGTTCAATGAAAAAAACAATTATGCGAAGGGAAATTAAAAAAACTACAAATGTCCCCTACATATCCCTAAACACAGGGTTCCTTTATCCATGTAAAAAAGTACTTCTTTGCATATATTATTCCTTTTATTTTATATTAAATGTAATAATTACATTATATGCCAAAGTATTACTTGGAAAGTTGAGTAGTCCAAAACCTGTATTGATATTGCAACATGTTGCTACTAGATATTTACTACTCAGCATTCTCTGGAAACTTGCCAGAAGCAGTGTGATGCCACTATCCCCTAGGTGCTGTAGGCCAAAGGTAACTATATGCAATAACTTTTTGCCTTATTTTGTTGCATCGTTTTGACATTATTATTATTATTATACAGGATTTATATGGCGCCAACAGTTTGCACAGCGCTTTACAATATAAAGGGGGACAGTACAATTAGAAAATAGTTCAATACAGAAGGAACAGGAGGGCCCTGCTCATGGAATATACAATCTAAAATTAGGGGGAGGTGGTACAAAAGATAATAACTGAAGGGGGGTGATCTGATGCAGGTGAGCCAAGTACGGTTTTTAGGTGGGGGTGGACTTCCCTGAATAAATGTGTTTTCATGGATCGCCTAAAGGCAGACAGGGTAGGCGCTAACCTGACATATTGGGGTAGGCTGTTCCAGAGGATGAGAGGGGTTCTGGGGAAGTCCTGAAGGGGAACTTGGGAGGTGATAACAATGGAGCTGGAGAGCAAGATGTCTTGGGAGGAGCAAGGTGGACAATTTGGCCATTATCTTGAGATGAGGTTGATGATGTAGCCGGGAGCAGTGCCGTGGATGGCTTTGTGGTTAGTATTTTGAATTTTATATGTTGGGCTAGTGGATGCCATTGAAGGGATTCGCAGAGAGGGGCAGCAGTCACAGACTGGTTAGTATTTATTTTTTAATCTTAAGGTATTCTATATTTTATATCTGCTGCCTGCGAAGAGTTGCAGGTAAAGAAAATGAATTGTTACTTTCCGAGCTGGAAGTGTTGTCCTGCAGAGCTGTTTATTTGTGTTTAGATAGTTTTGCTATTCACTCCCTTCCTCATCATTTAGATATCAGCTCCCAACACATTGTCAGATAATGCTCTTTCACAGTTTGCAGCAGCCAAAGTGTCTTGCCAGAGCTTTTCAGTGAATTCCATCTCCATATCTTCCGCATGACTCGTACAACAAGGCTTAGCTAATTCACAGTGTACAGTCTAATTCAAATCACTGCATTACGCTTTGTGTAGGGCGGTGGAGATTTTACAGAACTTAGAGGTAAATCCTTTTGGCTGATGCCCCAGTGTGTGAAATACACATTTACTTCACCTATTAAACACACAGATGACACAAAGGATTGCTTACCTTATCTTCATGCCAGAAAAGGCTTGTGCTGTTTGTTTACACTGCAATGTGCATGCTGGATCTTCATTCAGATTCATCAGGGCTGGCATCCTGAAATTCTGTGCAAGCAATATGTTATTTGTCAATGGCTCCCACCATTTTAAATTGATAGTATTTGCCTTGCTGTCTAAATACTTCATAAATATTTAGAGACATCAAGGAATTAGAATAGTCTTAGGCCTCTAAGAGCAGGGAAAACTTGTATAGCATTTTACAGCAAAACATAAAACATGCAAATTGCTATATTACAACATGTAGCCAAAAAATCCACACATTTTGGTAACGGAAAAGAAAAGTTAATGATATGCTTCATTACTTTTTATCAATTCTTGCTATATATTAAAGTGATACTAAAGCCAGGACCCTGCACTCACTATATCTGGTCTCCCACAGTACACACAATGTGGAAATCCAATTATTTTAGTAAATAAACTGCTACGTACCTTTTCTCATCAGCAGTTAGAGTAGTCTTGTGACTTCAGCCGACCACTGGTTAAAGGTTGTAGGAGGAGTTTTCTTTCTGCTCTAGGTGGGTGTGAAACCCCTGACCCTCTGTTTGGACAGTGCTGATTGGCCCTGTGCTGATCACATGCACTCTCCCAAAAACAACAAAAAAAACCTCTCTATCAATACACACCTAACTGAGTATGTGCATATGACTATGAATTCAGTCTGTATCAGGTGGTCATTTCAACAAGAGGAGGGGCAGAGAAGACAGGATCAAACAGCCTTTTTACACAATGCAGAGGATTAACCTCTTAGGTTCCACAGTGAGTATAACAAGCCTGCTTTACTGCATATACAGACTGATTTTACTGTTGTGGGTTTAGTAACACATTAAGAGAACCTATGGAGAATTGGTATTTGTACTAAATTCTTGCATATAATAGTGCAGCCTTATTTTAAAGCAGTTGTACGCAGCTTGATTTTAAATAAGTTCACCTATGATTAAAATAAATAATGAATGCACATTTTTTTGCAGGTAAAAAAATATGCAGTTACTATTTTTTGTTTTGGGAGCCTTGAAAGCATTGCACCAGTGATCAGCAGATGGTGCCATTCAGCGCACCTGCAGACCTGTCAGTGTATCTGTCTGCTCGTACCTCATACAGGCAAGCAGATACACACTGACAGAAAGACTCAATGAACTACCACAGTGCTCCACAGATTACTGTGAATGAGTGACTCAGCCAGGTGGGTGGAGCCCCACACAGTCACTTTTTTTTAAATTGTGACAACTAGGAGGGGGAGAAGATCCCCCACTAGCTGTAACAACAGGGGATTGGGGGCCAGTTCTTTCAGTACATGTTACATGTTACTTCCTGAATATTTTTGTAACGTTACAAAAGGTGAACTTATCCTTTAAGCCAATTCTGGCTGAAGCTGGGGAAAGGGAGAGAGTTGGGGTGCTTGTTGGTATGAAAAAAGTTGATTGTTCAGTCAATGTTTAACCACTTGCCTACCAGGCACTTATACCCCCTTCCTTACCAGGCCATTTTTCAGCTTTCAGCGCTGCCGCACTTTGATTGACAATTGCGTGGTCATGCAACATTGTACCCTTATGAAATTTTGATCTTTTGAGGCAGCACTGATGGGCACTGATAGGCGGCACTGATGGGCACTGATAGGCAGCACTAAAGGGCACTGATAGCAGTACTAGTGAGGTGGCACGGATAGGCGGCACTGATAGACAGCACTAATTAGGGGTCACGGATAGGCGGCACTGATATGCAGCACTGATAGGCGGCACTGATAGGTGACACTGATTATGGGTACTGATAGACAGCACTGACTGGCGGCACTGACTGGCACAACCCTTGGGCACTGACTGGTGGCACTGACTGGCAGCACTGCTGGGCTGCACTGGTGGGTGGCACTGGTGGGCAGCACTGGTGGGTGGGCACAGGTGGGTGGCGCTGGTGGGCACAGGTGGGTGGCACTGGTGGGCACAGGTGGGTGGGCACAGGTGGGTGGCACTGCTGGGCACATGTAGGTGGCACTTCTGGGCACAGGTAGGTGGCACTGCAGAGTTAGGGCACAGGTGGGTGCACTGCTGGGCACAGGTGGGGGCACTGCTGGCACAGGTGGGTATGCAAACTGCTGGGCACGGGGTGTGGCGGAGCTAGTGGGGCACTGCTGGGCAAAATTTTGCGGGTGGCACTGCTGGGCACCGATCATCAGGGCACTGATCATCAGTGCCCTGATGATCGGTTTGCCGATCCCCGCTCTGACAACTGCCGGTTCTCGGCAGTACTTTCCTCACGATCTGACAGCGTGAAAAGTGCAGCCGAGAACCGGCACTTGCATTTCCCTGTGATCAGCGTGTCATTGGACACCGCTGATCACGTGGTAAAAGGCCGCTGTGATTGGCCTTTTACCACATCACGTGATCAGCTGTGTCCGTCGCACGCAAATTTGCGGCCTCTCGGCGTCTGGGCCTTGACGCTGAGTGGCCGCATATTTGCTTGCAATTAGAAATTACATATGTGCTGAGAGCGCGCGCCCTGTGCACTCCCAGTAGATGTCCGCGACTCCCGGAAAGGTCCTGATCTCTCTTTCGATCGGGAACTTTTCCGATCATGTGACCGCCCTGATGACGAATCATGGTGGTCACATGACCCTAAAACCCTGCCCTGCCTCCCTGCTTCTGAAACTCTTTAAGGGCCGGCACCAGGAGGTTAAACAAGTGCCCCATTGGAAGATTTTCAGTAATTTTCAGGTCCAGTGACAATGGTACCAGGACAACATGAACACAGAAAGCAATAAAAACCTCACACAGTTTCCAGCTTTTGCTACTTCACCCAAGACTATAAAAAAAAAAGTTTTGGCT